GTGGCTGTCAGGCGTGTGTGCAGTGCACGTATGCCTGGTATTCTGGTCTGCATGTGGGTTCAAAGCCCCGGTTGGACATCTGTTAGTAGGTCTGTCAATCATTGTTGATGCCCCTCCCCTCCACCTCTCCACCTTTCACCTACTTCCTGGTTATAGTGAAAGGCATTTTCAGGAGCCAAAGACCTTTGACCCAGTCTCATTCTCATCCCAAAAAGAATTTTTTTTTAAAAAGATTTGCATATTTAATAATAATAATAATACTAATAATAATACTAATAATAATAATAATGTGTAATGCCCAAAATCAATATCAGGAAGGTTATGATGTTCTGCAGACTCAATATATGTCAGCAATTAAAGTTAAGATTTCTGCTTGCTGCCTGGCCACAGACCAACGTAACAATCAACCAAAGTCATCAAACGTCTGCGAAGCCTCTCAACTGCCCTGCCGTATCACATTGCATGTAGTGTGAGATTTAAACAGTCTGCTTAATTTCCGCTATTTTGCTAAACAAACACTCCATGCCATAAACTGTCTGGCCTACAGTTAGTCCAGTTATTTGAATCAATAAATGTCGGCCTGTCACCATGGTTACAGCACATCATGTCACAGCTTAGTTGACAGTGATGGTGAATCATCTGCAACGTTTCTGATAGTTGATACACTGTTTAAGCCATTTTCAAGCAAACATTCACTAGTTCCAGCATTCAGTTGTAAAGATGTTGTGCTTTTCTTTATCTTATGTGATAGTAAACTGAAAATCTTTTGGTTTTGGATAAAACACGAAATGTAAAGACTTCACCTTGGGCTATAAGAAATTGTGATCTTTTTTTTTTTACTATTCTCTGGCATTTTATAGACCAAATAATTCAATTTGTATTATTATTATTATTTTTAAACAATCAATTAAACTACACAATAATCATCAGATTAAAGGTGGGGTATGCAATTCTACACGTCTTTTTCTCAAATTCAGCAAATATCTCATCATAGTCAAGTCTGAAAAAACTGTCCAGTGTTTGTACACAACTCTGGCTCTGTAAATGAACAAAATGGCTTAAAGCAGCAACTTTAGCGTCTGTGTTTGCAAGCCCACACCATAGCTAGCTTTAGTTACATTACTTGCTGTGTCGTTGTTCACTTTATAAAGGTATTTGTCATGGTATTGGATTGGATTTTGCACACCCCAGCTTTGATTGATAGAAAATAATAAAAATGAAAATGATTGTTAGCTGTAGCCTTATATTGGTTTGTTTTTGAGTTCTCACTAACCACATGACGCCAATAGCAGGATATTATCAGAAGTCATCATATTATCACACATTACCATTATCATGCTTACATTAAATTCATAATCATGCATCACTATAATGATTTTGTGCCTTTTGGCTTCCAGGCCGCTGTTTGAATAAACTGTGACAAGACTATTTGATCGTGAAGCTTATCACTGCACCAGCTGCTACTGTGGCTGATATGAATCACAGAAGGGAAAAAGATCAATGTTCCTGCTGTTCACAGAAATAATAAACAAAAAAAGTAAAAATATATGTTGGCGGATGGTATAGGAGTCCCTCATTGTTCTCAAGAAATAATACGTCTAAAATGTATTTATCCTTGTATAAAATGTAGCATTTTAGAAATGCAGTTATGATTTAACTTGTACTTTAAAAGCATCCAGAGTCGATGCTAAGAGCTTCTAATTCCCTATGTGCCATTCATGCCAATGGCTATAACGACTTTTTAACTTAAATACATATAATGCTATAATCTTCTGACTCCACTGCATCTACTGAGCCACACTGTGTCACACTGTGTTAAATCACTAATCTGACTGCTGCAGTGAGTGGGTTGCTGCGAGTCTGGAGGCTGCATCCACCCAGACCATGGAGAACTCTTTTATTGTGAGACCTCAGAATGCAGGGGCAGTTTGTGTTAAAACAGGAGGCGTGTATCAGAGGACGTCTTTAAGTGTAGGCTGGTCGATAGACAGCAGGCTGGAGTAACACTTGCTCAGCAGTTTTACTCTCAGATAGCGTTCTGTGAGTAACTTTGATTTTGCTTTAAGAGATTTAGATGGCAGCATGTTCAGGAAATGCTGACTTCACTCAGAACGCACAATTGCACCACGAGCCGCAGCATATTGCAGCACATTAAGACTGATAAATATGTTGTGGGATGTACTGGTGAGGGCGGGATTTTAGCTTCTGTTTTGTCAGCTTGTAAAAGCTGTAATAAACCTACCTCACCCAGCTTTTAGGAGCTGCTAGCTCAGCTAAAAGAATTTCATTAGTCTGGGTTTCAGTGTAGAATTTAAGTGTTCTGTAAAAGGCTAAATGCGGCTTCAAATCTGAGTACACAACATATAGCGAACACAAAATATCTGCCATCATCAGCAGCATTAAATTCAATCCACAAATATTGTTATCAAAGCACACATTAGTGGACGGATATCATGATACACAGCATGTCATGGACACATTGCAAGCTTCTCTGTACCATGACTGCATGCATTTTTAGCATGGTCAATGGCTGTCCTCCAGTGAGAAAGCTCTTATATAAGCCATCTGAAGCCTTGGCTCTAAAACAGTTACAACACACAGATCTCCATCTATTTTAAGCTTGCAGTGATTCCGCTTTCTACTTCCAAAAACCAAGATTTTCAGGAAAAAAATAAAGCTGTTATGGTAATGCCAATGAAATTGCATTTATTAACTGGTTTATTGATGCTTTTGGCAGGAAGAGTGTGACACATTTTTAGATTTTGTTATTCAGCTCCAAGACTCATTCTTTAAATATAGGAGCAGGTCTGTGCACAAGCAGATTTTTGTGGGAGTGGGAAAGGGCTTCTGTGTGAGCCCTCAGGCCCCAGTGACATTGTAGGCAATTATGAGGTCAAATGTTTCTCCCACTGCCTGTGCAGAATAACATACATCTACATGTTAGCAAGAGCTGCCAGAGCAGTTCAAACCAGTCACAAAAACAACATCCCATGGTTTGCTACCCACATACACAGATATCTTAACACAGGTATACAAACACATCCGCATGAACCAACACAGAATAAATCAAGGAGGGCTGCAGAATAAACACACAGACGTACACACACGCCATTGTAAACTCAGTCACGGTTTATGGTGCAATTACACAGCAGAGGTAAAGACACAGTGTCAGTTAATGAGTCACTTCTCTACTGTGAAGTGTGAGCCTCGTGTGTGATCAGTAATATCTTGACTCCAGATGTTTTGTGGGCCTAGCCTTTCTGTCACATCTCTTTCCTTCCGTGCTCTCACACTAGTTGCAACTATGTGGTTTGTAAGCGAGTGTTAGTGTGACATCTGTGTGGTGTTTCATGCACAGCCACAGCCACATGTGTGCAACGTGCAGAGGACTTAAAACCGAGAGTGCATAGCAAGGGGGGCCTCCAACTGCAGACCGTGCAAAATACCACTATTAAACTAGTAAAAAGGCAGGGTTTTTTTATGAACTGGAGCCATTAATCATGTAGTTGTGTTGTTTGATGTCTTTTTGGCTACGAGACATTTCCATTTACACTCTTTCACACACCAGAATGCCTGATGAGTCAAGATCCCAGGCTTTTTGCAAATGAACCATGATGCTGTTCTGTAGGGTTGAGAATATAATTCAAATTAACTACGAAGAACAGGAATCGAAACACAAGTGTTTATGGGTATTGGGAAAAAGATGCTGACATATCATGGTGCTTTTCCTCTTGCTTTGAAAGGTGGGTTTTTCAAAATAAAGTAAGGTGATTTCCACTAAATTGGCTTTTCACTGCAGCTCAGACTGAATAGAAACATGGCTCCACATGAGATTGCTTCTGCAGTATAGTTTGTCTTCTTCTCATGGTGTTACATTTGTGTTGGGAACTGTTAAAATTTTAATAAACTGGTTTAAATGAAGGCTAACAGTCTATTCTGGATACACAAATCAATGTTTCAATGACACTGCTTTCTATGATGATACCTTTGACCAAAGCAAAAGTCTGTAACATTCTGCATTTTGTTGTCCTTGCCAGCCACAGTAAATGTGCCGTTTGATTCATTAACAAAAGGTTAAGTTTTAACTTGCTTAGTGGGTTGAGCAAGTAACTGTTCTTGGGTCTTTTTGTTTTTTAACGGGGTCATGAGCTAGTAAGAGTCATGGGTGCATCTGGTCCACAGTAAGGAGATTAACATAATTATGTTTTTAACGAGCTTGGGCCCCATAACGAGAATGTGCAGATTTACTATTTACTTGATTTTAGTTTTCATTTTTCTTACTAATGTAATTTTGTTGTCTTTTTTTGATTTAGTGATGTATTGTGTTGCATATAGTTAAGAAGTTACCTGATTACTCCCTGGATGTGAGGCATTGTCATAAACATGGACCTATCTCCATTGGTTACTGGGTTACAGCTTTAAAATCTATAAGGTTCAGCCATGTCCCTTATAATGTGACCCATATGAAGATTTAAATGTTTAAAAGGGCACATTTTCTGGTGTCAGTATGGAAGATGTGGAGTGCTGATTGGAGAGTTGTTTGACCAGTCACACAGTTGATATGATCCCAGGCGGCTGTTTGAAACAAACCTCAGTAAGAAGAAAGAAATGAAATTGGATTGAGTGTGTGTGGATTCATGCACACTGATGCTGGTGGTGAAGAGATAAATGTGCACTGCACACACACGTCTAAAGATTAACATGCAGGACATCAGAAGAAAGTTCTCATGTGACTCCAGGACTGAAAACAACCATGTGAATAGGAACAGGAACAGGAATAGGAACACTCTTTTGGTAGGACATACTCCATCTCACACACATATATAGCCTACTGTATACACACACACACAGAGAGAGAGAACTTCGACGGAGATGAGACGATGAGAGACGGGAGAGACGGAGAGAGAGAGAGAGAGAGGATGAGGAGAGGAGAGGAGGGGCGAACACTGCGAAACATTGCCACACTTTCCGCTAGTTTTCCCGCTCCGTTCCCCACTGACCTTGGCGGACCGGCGGGCTCCCAGTAGCGGCAGAACAGGTGCAGTCCGTCGGCGTTGACGATGTGCTGCAGGTCGGTGTAGGGGACTCCCTGCGGACTCCGCCGCGGAGCAGCTCCCGGCTCGGGCATGGAGGGGTCTGCAAGAGACACACGGAGCAGCGATAACAACACATCGCTGCCGTAGAAGTAGCAGCTGAAGCCGGCGACGAGCAGGCAGGTGGCGGCGGTCACGGTGTTCATTGTTTACTGTTGTTGTTTTGTTTGTTTGTTGTTGGTGCGTGCTCTAGGCATGCGTCGAAGACTACACGGCTTGTATCTAATCCCGAGCTGCACGCACACACACACACGCACACACACACAGGCTGTCAGAGCGTCCGCAACGACCGGCGTTACGTCACCAGACCATATGCTCTGCCTTCCACAAGGTCTCTCTCTCTCTCTCTCTCTCTCTCTCTCAGCCCCCACGCTCTCCACATGCTCTCTCTCTATTTTTTTTTAATTCGATTTTAATGATCTTTATTAGCATGAAAAGACCGCTTATATTGCTTATATTACTCACTTTATTGCCATCCCCACGGTTGTCATTATTATTATAATTATGACACTTAAAGTGCGGTTCTGCCAAAGGTATCCTGTGATGTTTACAATAACTAAAGAGTGTAAGAAAAAAAATGGTTGACACGTTACTACACTGTTCAGCTGCATTATACTGTAATGGAAAGAACAAACAGATCATAAAAACTAAAGAATAAAAGAATACGATCACATATAAACATATTAAACATACAAATAAGACACATTTAACTCCTGAATGTAGGGCAATAGGGGAAAAATAAAAGGGACAGGGGTATTTATTTATTTAATTTTCACCAGATATTTATCAATTGATATCTCCATGTTCGTGAATAAACCTGTCCCTTGTATATAAACACTGAGCTGATTTACGAACAATATGACAAAGCAAATACATTTTAATTTAAAAATATACATAAACATCTTTCTATCCAGCTCTCTCCCCTCTCTCAAACCCTGCAAAGCTACACACACAAATAATCTTTGTGTACCTCTCTTTTGCCTGCAACACCCCAGCACCTGCTCTCCCCCTCTCTCTCGCATTACGCACGAGGCTTCCCTGACACCAGGTCCAACCGGATACACAGTAAATCCAGGCTACATGGTGTTAATGGCATGTGTGGCATTACAATGCAGAGGACGGTGTGTGCACTGCCTGACACACCGCCGGAGGTAAAAATAGCCCCTGTGTGAAGCTATTTCCTGAGGTGATCGGGTGTCGTCTTTCAGGTTTAGTGACCTGACTTAGTGACTCTGAACTCGGACCTCAATATATCATACGCTGTAGTCAGTGATAATTTGTCAGTTTAAACATGAGTAAACTATATGGCTGTGTGTGTTGGTGAGTAGTATGGGGAATATTTAGGCTGATTCATGAAACACCTGGTATTATATCTATGAATTTCTACCATTAGGAACCATTTAGCCAACGTTTTGACACCAAAATGCGTATAAACTGTTTTTTGGCCGATTTTCATCCACAATAACAGGCTACATTTCTGCTTTGCAACCAATACTGTACGGGGAAATATGGCTCATATCAGACCATAACAGAACACATGAATAACAGTAAAAAGTGTGCATCACACAGATAATCGTTATCACTTAACTTGTAGCAATATGCGAGCAGATCGATACTGGACACTGCTCCAATGACATGTGTGCGCAAAAACCTCCCTTTTGTTTTCATCTCCGCTGCAATCAGCCGTTTCCACCTCCATGCACATGGAACAGACTCTACATAGCAAGCACCCAGAAAAAGAGCAAACGTTTGCAGTGCAAGTGTCTGTAATTGACATCAAAGCCTTGAGTAGAAGCGACTCATCTGGTTTGACTGCTGATATCGATGCCAGATGCCTGTAGTAGCGCAAGACGCACTATATCATCAATATTATTGTTTGTGGGCTCTATGGGAAAAAAGATGAATGGAGGAAGCCAGAGAGGATTGCAGCGGATATCACTGCAAAACTACAAGTTGCGTTGGTTAAAAGCAGAGGATAAATGGATAGTGTGCTGATGCTGGAGATTACATCCACTGGAGTGTCCATAACAAGGTCTAAACGGAGTCCCGGAGACGCACTGTGAAGTCCCTATGCAGAAATATCATAAGAATATAATGGAACCAACCTGTACAGGAGCGTCTGCAGTGAAAAGAATATCAGTCCTTTCGTTCGGGACTCTATAATACCCCACCCTCTATTCTCATCTCTCTCTCTGCTTCTCTCTGTCTCCCTGTCCCTCTCTCTATTTCTTTCTCTGCTTCTCTCTCGTTCTCTACTCGCTGGCTCTGCTCTCTCTCTCTCTCTGTGTAGCCTATGTATGCCTCTCTCTCTCTCCGATGCTCTGCCCTCGCAAGAGAAGAGAAGAATGCAGTCAGCGACGTTTGGGGAGAAACTAAGTAAGTATTCACGCACACACCCTCTCTCTCTCTCTC